AATAAAGCTCATTATTTACATAGCACTAGCTTACAACAACAGTTGTCGCATGGGGGTTTTATAGTGTAAGGTAAAGACTGTACAAAGGTAAAGAGAGAACACCAGTGAGCCAGCACTTGGCGACAGTGGGGAGGAAGAACTTTCTTTTTAAAAAGTGACTTTTGGTAGAAAGAGACTCAGGGAAGTTACGGGGAAACTGAGGAGAAGAAAAAGAGATCAGATCATCAAGTGGTGAAAAAAAAAAAATGTTCAGTGCATCATGGGAAATCCCCCAGCAGCCTGAGCCTACAGCAGCATAACTAAGGTTAACTAAGATTAAGCCCAATCTTAAAAGTAGAGAGCCTGTCTGCCTCGTGAATCCAAACTGGGATCTGCTTCCATGAGGTCTGCTCTCAAATATATCAAACTAATCTTTTAAGGGACTATGTTTGTGAGTGTGAGGTTTGAAAGTTAATACCGAGTTAAAATTAAGCACAAAATCAGCAAAAATCTTCAGACTCATGTTACGGTTCAGTCTTCCCAACATCTCACACCCATCATTTGCCTCTTCCACTGAGCTCTTATAAACCGTCTAACAGAAAAGAAAAAAACAAACTTACACCCAGCAAGTCAGCATACGAATACAAACACAGACAAACCAGAAGGTTTGGTGACAACTGTGACAGAGAAACTGAGGGATCGCTGGGATCCTGCTGATATGTTAGAAAGGCTTTCTCTAACTGACTATCTGCGCTCATTTAAATAACACGTATATAAAGAAAGGATGACAGTTTTGGTAACTTATGTTATTTAATGACATGTTAATTAGCCATGCAGTTAGCCTCCTCCCTGAAAAGTATTTTTAATTTTATTTATATAGCAGCAAATCACAACAGACGGCTCAAGTTATGTTGCTATTTATTATTTCCCTTTCATGTCGCTTCCGTCCAAAGCAAGAAAAAAGTTGATACGATGTTGCTGACACTCACTTTTCACATACACAGTGCTGCCGCTGGGCAGCACCACCACGTTGGATGAAGGGCTGGGTGGCCGTGGAGATTTCACTGTTGCTCCTATAGGGCCGCTGGTCGCCGTGGTGCTGGTGGAGGTGCAGGTGGTGCTCGTGTAGGAGTAGCACACCACGACTACAGGGAGGAAATGAAACACATCATTCAATGCCCAAAGTGTTTGAAAACAGCCAGAGTCCGATGCAAAGTGAATGTTTCTGGCTTTACCCTCTTTGTTCCCTGTTTCAGCTGGCAGCAGGAGGGAGGCGTTCTGATTGGCCGTGGCGCTGGCCACAGCGTTAGCTGTGACTGTAAAGGCCGTCTGGGGAACCAGCCTCGGCATCAAAGGAACAAGCCTCCGCCCTTCAATGGACCACTCAGAGGAGCTGTTTGGACCCGACATGCTGAAAAAGAAAAAGAACGGAAATCTGATTAGAGGACGGCACGAGAGGAAACGTTATAAGTCCCCAAAGTTACTCGGGCTCAGAGTCAGGGTACAACAAAGGCCTGTTTAAAACCTAAAGCTTTTATTTCCACATGCTTCCACTCCACACCTTACAGTTTGACAAGCACTGGAGCAGAAGTTGGTTAAATAAATAGCCAAATAGCTCATTGTTGCTAAAGTGAATGAGGACTAATGAAAACTTTGAGGAAAACCTGAACAAGTCCCTTTTGCTCTCCTCCACAGACATAACAAAGCTGGACTTAAACAGTCTCATACTTACTGATAAGCGATGGTGGTGAGGCGCTCATCGTTGACAGCCCTGCGGACCTCTGCGCGATGACGCTCTGTAGAGATGCTGTGAGGGCGAGGGTAAAAAGGAAAGGCAGGTTTTAAATAAACCAAACTCTGCAAGCGAAAATGAAAGAAACCATTTAAAAACAACAAAAATTACCCGAGGATTTTAGTGAGCTCGCCCAGCAGATCCTTTTTGTCCTTTGTCAGGTCTCCTTGGGCTCTCAGAGCGCTGATGACCCCAGCGTACGCCTCCAGCTCTGCGACACACAAACATCAGTCTGTAAATGTTGCAGGTCTTTTGCACATGAAAGAGATTCAATCAGAGGCACTGATAACATTGCACTGCTTTGAGCTCACCCAGCTTCCGCAGAATTCTTTTGCACTCATCCCTGCCCAGGTCAAGGATGGTGGGCCACACCACCGGCATGGTACCAGCTAGCACTGGTTTCTCCAGCTGAATCATTGGCTGAGAAGACCGTGAGCAAGAAGGCAAGTTAGGACTCGATTTCCCATAAACCACAGTGCTTCATGGTTAAGCTCACCAGGCCCCGAGCACTGTTTTTTCAAGAGCTTCAGCAAACTGTCATTCCATGGAGGTAAATTGGACTCATCACAATATAACAAGCAGACTTTTTCCTGAATATAAAACATGTCAGCACAAAGAGTTTTACGACCAGCACTGCCAAAATAAAACCGTTAAAACTATTTTTATACAGAATTTAATTTACTCAAGCGCAAATATATTTATGTTTATCGAATGGCCAAAAATAACAGGGAAACGCTAAGACTTCTAATAATTAAGGTAACACAGATTCTGTTTTATATGAACCATATAAAATAGGCCAGATCCTGATGAGGTCTCTGACGTAAACAAAGTGGACAGTCATTAAATGTGGA